TTCTTGAAATATTCCTGATAGATAACTCTGTAGTTCTTATAAGTATTTTATATTCATCCCAATTTCTAAATACACAGTTGGAAAATTTGTATTAAATTTAATATATTTCATATGTTTAATTTAATAAAAATTTTCATAAATAATCTACTCAAATTTTTATATTAATTTAACACAAAATGAATATGTTAGAAAATAACACAAATATTATGTAAAAAAGTTACACAAAGCATAATACTGAAATAATTTATAAGCAAACTGTGGAATATTTTTTCAGTAAAAATTAATATTTATGATATGTTTTTCAAGAGTTTTTCTTATTCATTTATCTTAGAATTTACGTTTTAAAGCATTATTATTTTTATGTTATTTATTCACTTATTCATAAATTGTGTTACTTTGACTAAGAAATATATTGAATATCAATTTAACACAAAATATTTAAACTTTATTGTATGTTATTTAAATATTAACATAATTTTAATTAACATAAACATTATGTTAAATCAAGATTCAAACATGTTAAAAATTTAACACAAAATTTTAACAAGGATTTTAGTGGACCATTTTTCAACACAGATACAAAATGGTTTTTCGTATAATAAGTTAACGTCATTTGCCTTCATTTTTCGTCAAAATAATGTCAGTTTAGTTTATTATCTGGGGGATATTACAGATGTAGAATCGTACGTTGTAAAGAAATTATTTTCGTTTACAATTAGGACATTTTGCGTAAAGAGAAAAGGAGGCATGATGCATAAGAGACTCCTTAGCTCAACATACGTCGTCACACCTGACGTCACATACTCGTTAGGGGGCAGATGGCCCCCCTCTCAAGCGTGACGTTGGTTCACGGGGTACCTGGCGGCGTTTATCTATAGGGCCTTCCCCTTACTCTTGCTTCTTTCTTTCTCTCTCGCTCTTTTCGACATCCCATAAGGTGAGGCAAAATAAAATAAAACTCCCGAAGGGAGTTCCCTTCGCGCACACACGCGCAGCTGCTCAGGTAGCATGAACTACTTCCACATTAGAGGACGGAACTGCTATGGGGTATCCCATTGGTACCCCATAGAAATTCCGTCTGGCCAGACGCTCCCTCGGCGCATATACGCTCGAGGGGGAGCGAGCAAGAAAAAAGAAAGAGGTTATCAAGGTGACGGAGCTACGATCGATTTGTAGAGGTATTAGTATACGGAAATGATTCGCGTGTGTATATACAGGCAACGCGATCCCCGCACAGAGGGGAATGTACTTCCGAATGCCACTATGTATCCACATTTGTCACGCATCGGAAGGCATACACGCGCGCAATTATTTCCGAAGTGAAAAGAGAGTACGTGTTTCCATTATATTTAGAAAATATTTATAAATATACATGATATGTCAATGTAAATATATTTTGTATTCTCTAAATTATTTTATTTCTTAACATAATTTTGGATAAACTCTGTCACTACTAAAACAAGTTTACCGTTGCTTCTTAATTACAAGATCATTTTTCCAATGATTAAATGAAAAATAAAATCCTTTTTTTTTTTTATATTATTTAATTGTCAAATTTTTCTCAAATATGCTTCTAAAAAATGTTTCTAAATTTTTTCCTATCACTCAAGTTCGTCAAAAATCTTTTCACAGAAAATAATGATTTTAGACACTTTACATATAAAATATATTAAGCTATTGACATACATATAATTTAATCTTTATAGATTTTTGTATGAACTCTGATTTCCTGCACAATATATCCATAGACGAGTAATTGGCACAAGCGGAATGATCAATGGGATCGTCGATGTGTCGACAAAGATTTCTTTCATACAGGACAATCATAGGTGGATATCATTGTGTACTTTTTATTTGACCTAAAGCTACCGAGCTGTTAGCGTGACAAAAAGAAATAGCTAAAGAAATTTTCCTTTCCCGATGCCCCCCAACCGATCATCTTTACGAACTATGAAGAGCGAACAGCCTAATTATCAGGAGCACGCAATAGAAAAGATTTACAAGGTAGCAAACGAGCGTGGTCATTATGCTTTGTATGCATGTATTTCTGCGCGAGAAGTGATCTCTCAAACGATCTCTAAACATTCAATAACGAGGTCTCAATCGGGCGGGCCTTTTCATGCCTCAGTAAAAGAGAAGGCAAGGTCGGGCAGGCGATTTTTGTCGCCGCTCGTAAATCCAACTAATTCTCAGCACGAGATATCCGGTCCGGCCTGCCGAGAAGGCGTTGCGGGGGCGTTTCGTGTAGTAAACATAATGTCGAGCCTGCAAAACCTGTCCCTGTCCCCTTTACACGTTAGCATCCCTTCTTTTCGTTTCTTCGCAGCGCGTGCCAGACTGTGGTTCGGCGAATCGCAGCTTTTCCACCGAGAACACCTGGGAATATCTTTCCCTCTTCGCAGTCTCTTCCTCTTCTAGAGTTACGCGTTCTACTTTCATTATGTCTTTCGTGACGTTTATTGTGTCACCCCCGTTACATCAGTCATCAAAATAAATTCTTACGCACATAAGAATCTTTACGATTATTTAACATTTAAATTGATTAATATTAATTTTAAAAAATAATTCCTCACCATTGTATGCATTTATAGGTAAAGTAAATTAATTAACAATTTATAAAAAACATATTTTCTTTTTTTGTCACGATTCATGTTATTAAATTATCAATTAAAGTGCACTTACGATAAAAATAATTTTGATCAAAAGAAAATACTAAATAAATAAGAATAAAAATGATCAAAGTAATTTCCTCGTTTATGTGTTAAAAATTTCAGCTTCCGTGGCAACATAAAAATACTTTATGGCAAACGTATCGGTAAAAGTAGAATTTATGCGTTTTCTCAGAGCACACCAATGCACAGCATTATCCCTTGGCGTATCGCTATCCACCCACTCGAGTCGCCGCTCGTGCGCGCTTAAATCGTACGATCTCTCGGCACGAGGCACAATGAAAGAGTAAAAAAAACTAGACGAACGAATAAAGTATTAGGGAGCGAGAGAAAAAAAACGTAACTGTTGTCGATACCTGCGCTTCCCCTGGTCGTCGTTAAGTGTGGAATTCTGTTCGCGGCAGATTGGTCGATCCTCTCAACGGTATCCGGCACCAATTTCGAGGCTCTCATCTATAACGGAAGATTAAAAGTACTAATAACGTACGCGAGCAGGAGAACCGTTCATGGGCTGCGATCTACCGCTACACATCGTCTTTTGCCGCATGACGCACAATGACTTCCGAAACATATGTCGAACGACGTTCTTCCTTCATTCTCTCGACGCCGACCCGCATCGAGATGCGTTATTAACGTGCGTGAGGGGGTGGCGAGAACGCAGGAGAGAGTTTTGTCGGTCGAGCGACCGCTTCTAAAGAAAGAGGGAAAAACGTCGGAGGGGTGAGAAAATCCATTTTCACGTTTTAGACCGCCATCGGTTTATAAGACACGTGGGTGGAAGAAGGCGGGTAAAGCACATAAGTGGAGAATCAAGCCATCTGGTTTCAGGCTGCAGCCTATACTACTGTTTGAAAGGTATGCTCCGCCGTGAGGGTTCTTTAAATCCACCAGAGATACACACCTTGAGACCTGTCCCGGCCAAGGACCCTCGACCGCTTGGCCCTTTAAATCGACACCGAAGCGAAGACATCGAGGCGCCCTTGCGTCCCTTCCGTCGCGAACCGAGGGTAACTGCCGGATGAATAGCTTTTTTTCATTTCCGACTACACTCACGCGTATTCTTTCATTCAGCCTTAATTAAGCTCAAACTGGACGATCACATCTCAATTTGTATTATGCTCAATGGTCTTAACACTATTTGAGATGGCTCGCTTATCTGCAAAAGTATGCCATTGTATCTCATAGATGGAGCAATATAATAAATTATATCCACCTAATTAATTTTTTTATAATATCGTAAAATAAATGTTTAATGTGATAACCCAATGCGGCTCAATACAGTCACAGAAACAATTCATACTATTCGTAAGCCAGACAATCCTTCCAGTACCTATCGATCATACGTGAACTGCAGAGTATTCGTGTTGTTTGCGTGGAAGATCAGAATAGTGTTGACAGTCGACCGACAAAGCCAAATTAATTTGCAAATCGCTGTTCAAGCGGATCAGAGAACATTTCGTCTATTACGAGACATCATGAGGAGACGGTCATACATCGAATGAAGAAGATGGTAGATGACAAGAATAAGAAAAGATACATCGAGTCTTCGAGTGTATATCAGAAGATTGGAAAAAACTACAGTTTTAGATACCAACATCTCTAATTCGATCTCATAATTCTCATTGTATCTTATCTACGACTCCCTCCTTTTTTGTTATCTTATAAACTTTCTAATAAGCCATTATCTAAGCTTTAAGTCTTAAAATTATTCTTCTCATATTTGACTGGTCGATGATCGGTCGATTTCTTATGTTTATGACTTAAAGCTTAATGGCTTATTGTAGAATGCCTCTAACAGATAACGATTCTTCAACAACCCACTATGGATCACTATTGCGTATCCACGGATGAACGAAGAGTGCATCGTAAAGCTTTCATTATCAGTCGTTTATAGTATACCGTCATGTGAGCGCAATGACGCACGTGGAGCACGCGTAGGGGTCGATTCGTAGGGACGAGCTGACAGTGAGTCTCTTATTAGGGAAGGAGTCAGCAAGCATGATTATGTACCTTAGAGCGTCTCCGTCTCCCCCTTTAACCCCATCTCCTTTCCATATTTAACATCCTTCTTTTTTTCTCCAATGACTCGACGCGCGGCGTCATCCTTGACATCGCACGACGACGAAGCAGTCACTATGACGCGAAGCTGCATTGTCAACCCCCGACTGTGTTCATGTATGCATGCATTGGCGTAGAGCGACGAGAAATTGTCGACGATACAATTACAATAGGCGATTGGCGATCCCGCTTTGTTTTTTGTGCGAATGGGAAATAAGTTTTCCGAGTCGCGAGGTTCTCATGAGTTGAGTTAATATTCAATGGTATACTTACGTTGTACGTTGCCGTGGCGGTGCGAAAGGTGCCGTCCCCTAAAACAAAAAGAATAATTATATTAATTACATCTCCAAATATCTCAAAATATTTTTACATGTATTTTATTATTATAGTTATAATTTGTTATCACTTGTACCGTTAAACCGCATATCGTTTTATCAGAATCTTTAATGACTAATTCACTCTTCAAATTTTAATTTTTAATAATTTAAAAAATTAAAATATTTAGTGTTTTTGTTTTTATCTATTTTAATGTTCTATAGTGGTTTTGTTATTATTCATACGATTCTCGTGGCTAAAGTAATTTTATGGAAGAAGCTGTTATATGCTAAAAACTTTTAGAGACCCCACACACAGACACACACACACACAGACACACACATAACAAAACATTAACAAATTTGTAAAAGTGAAATTGCAGAGAACTAAGCCGTACTTCTCGAAATTTGCATATCTACCTCGCCAATGCCGCCCAAGGCGATATTGTCGTCACAATGAAACCCTCTCCAAAGCTCGCCACCATCCCCAACACAGTCGCACGGACTGTGCAACGCGCGCGTGTCGGCGACGAGCTTTTGCCTCGCGTCACACGTGCCAAAGTTCACGAATTTCGATCGCGCATAAATATCGAGGCGATATAAATATAGCGCTGCGTTCTCTACCGAGATTCCTCGCAATATACTCCACAACCAAAAATAAAGGCATTCCCTTGCGCAATGGGTTATTTAATCGGAAACACATAAAATTGAAAATGGAAAAGTATCCTTTGTATATTTACATTAATAAATTGCAATTTGAAGCGTCTCTTTACAACTTTCATTTCTATTGATTTATTTTTAAAATGATATATGATAGCTCGTATAATAAAATACTTGTATGAAGAAATTATAATTTGTGACATGCTTCAAATATCGATAACTTGACTTTATTATCCGAAATTCTAAGTATGACCACCTATACTTCCATTCACTGCATTGTTCCGACTGGAATGCACGGGGAAGGATCGAGGAAGTAGAAGTCAGGAGGACGAGAGCCAAGGAGATCGTAGGTGTGAGGTACTGTTCGAAGCTAGTATCTGAGACAGTTTCGGTCGGCAAGATTTAACAAATAGGTAAAGTTTCGTTGCGAGGATGTCGGAGTTTGCGGATTCTCCGACGTAGCCTCGACATCCTCTCTCCTCTTTGTTCTCAAGTTTATGATGTATTAGCTGTTCCCTGTTGTGCTTGTACCTCGCTCTTTCTCATTCTTTCCCTATCCATCTTCTAGCGTTCCTTTCCTCCACCATCAACTACGTCTACTCTCTAGAGTTAGCCAATTTATGCAGCTCCGGGATTTAAGTTACAGAGTGAATTTAACTTGCAATATTAGAAATAATAGAAGAACTTCATTACAAAATCTTTTCTCAAGATGACAGAAACCGTATGATTAAAAGAAGATGAAAAAATTTTATTACTTTAATTTTAGAGAATTTAGAATCTTTTTGACATATACATAACAATTTTTAATATTTTACCTGGGGCAGTAAAGAATAATATTTTCACCTCCACGAATCGTCACCAAGTAGTTCATATTTTGAAAAATTTTGGCCTGTCTTGCCATGGCACGCAGACTCCACCGGGATTGCTGTCCCGGGATTAATAAACTTCGTCGCGTTTCGGCTTAGCCCGTGGCGTAACTCCGTGCGGAGAAAATCAATACCCGATACACATCCCAAAGGTCCGCTTATACTTGTCGCGCTATCTCGCTTTTATCTCGATCGTATCTCGCATATTGGCGTACGCCTAGCATCTACACGTACATTACGCCACGTTCACACGGATACGCGAACACGGAGAGGACACGCGTAACGCGCCCTGGCGAACATACGTATTGGCGCCGCCGCCCACACATCGTTTCCCACACCCTCTCACGGGCTCTTCGGGGTGACAGATGGCTTTGTAGACAAAGAACTTAGTCGACTGGTTTTCGTGAACGTTGCGTAACCCGATAAAAGCAAACCCAAGTCGATCGTTTCGACATGGCGAAGTCGCCGCACTCTACGAAGAGAGTGCGCTTCCCCGACTCTTCTCTAAAACGCGTAGTGTGGGGCAGTACGATGGGGGTTGAAAATCAAATCTGAGTGTCTCGATGGAAATCTTTGTCCAGTCAAGATTACTCTTAGCCTCCCGCTTTGCGACTCCATCGCTCTCCTCGTTCCGTCCATCACCCCTTTAATCATCAATCAGATATTCCCCTTGCGATGGGTTGGCGAACCGTGTTGATCACGACTGAAGCGCACTTTGGTGCCGTTCTACGGTGATTAGACGATTAGGAGCGTCCTTTGCTGGAAGGCATATTACGATCGTCGAGTATAGAATTACCCGCGGCCATTGTGCGCGAAATGTTATTGACGCTCTTGCGTGCCCGCGTTAAACTCTTTCTATCGTCATGGCATGGCGCAACGATGCTACGCGTAATAGACTTAAAAATAGTTTCTAACGTAGCCGCCGAGGGAAGTACACACGCCGATATATCAACGAGCCTCACAGTTATGACGTACGACGCGCGTTGTTAGAAACAGATTTATAATTAGTTTCCTGTTGTTGCGACACCGCGTAAAGTGTACGTACGCGCTCGTTAGATTGTAGAGCCAGCTTTGACGATTTAGCTTTTGATATGCTTGTTTGAGCATTGACACGATATTTCTGGATATAGATTATATATTATATGTGTTGTTCATTGTACATGTTGCATTATTTGTGTTCCGCATGTTGTACGAATTAGTATACGAAACATTCATTCGTAAAATTCGTAGAATAATACAGTCGTTGGCTATCACATAGTCATTTGCCATTCTGAGCTTGTAAATATTTCATTGCATTAATTCCTATTAATATGTTCTGCATATGCTAATTTTTGTTTCATCAAACTCGCTACATTTCTTTAAACAAATATAATACATTTATCAGCATTAAAAATAATTTAAATGCATTTATCAGTATTAAAAATAATTGAAATTGTAATCAATACTTGTATATTTAGCTTATATCGAACGTAAAAATGTTTTGATAATCTTCAAGTAATGCTTAGAGAAATATAAATGATTATATATCTTAATTTAAATAAATCAGTTCTATTCGAAAAATGTTAGCTTAATCATAACACGATTAATGCATACTGTGTATAATATTATATTAATTGATCTTTTGTAACAAATATTCTTTTTTTTCCTAAAAATAATGATAATAAAGTTGTTAAACTTTCATCGATTTTATATCATAATAAGAATCCACAAAGACTCGCTTCAATCAAACGATGTCTCATCTCACATGAGAAGATTAGTTTTTGGGTTCTCGTCTTACATTCTATACATGATTAAGATGCGAACATGCGTGCATGGTACGCACACGCATGCATTCGAAAAAGGGGCGTCGAATCGATGGGTGGCACAATAGGCACGTGGCAGAATCTAATCATCACAGAAGCCTCAGGGTGAGTTTCTATGTTTTTTTTTAAGTTTCCTATTCAGCGTGTTAACTCTCTGGAAATTTATTAATTCGAATCAGCGTCAGATCAATACATTGTGTGGCAATTGTTTTTCTTTCATATGCACGAAGCATCTAATAAAAAACAAATAAGTAGTAATCACGATTCAAGTAAACACATTTCGCTCCAGAGAACAGAAGATATGGAATTATAGATTTTAACTGGCAGTCTCTCTTCTTTCTTAAATTAACCTGGTTTCAATAAACCACGATACGGCATGCTAATTAGTAAAATAAAAGCAATGTCCTCATTGGAATGAAAATTCTATCCTGAGTTAGAGACGACTCGATAGAAATAAATCTGTCAATACGCCTGTAAAGTTAAGAACGAATATAACTCTCTTACAATTAAATATGTATTATCCGGATGCCGCATGCCAAATGTATCTTTGTTGCACATTGTCGCCTATCGAGAAAGTCATACATCTAAAGTTAGTATTTGATAATTAACTTCACATTCGATTAAGCGTCTATCGTACACGAGAGACTCGGTTATATCTGAAAGCGAGCTACGAACATGTGGCCTCCGCCTCAGGAGACGCCCCTTTCCTATAATCATCAAATCGGCAATGGAATATTTCGATCGTGACAGAAATGGGATAGATAAATAATGAACAAAGTCTTCAAAAGAATCATACACAAGAATTTACATTTCAATATATTAAATTTATATGTTAAATTTTGCCATAGTAATTTGTGATACATTTTTAATACAGTCGCTAAATTTCAAAGCAGCAACATGCAAAGAGTATATCACAATAACAACTGAGCCTCTTTGCAGAAGCAATTCATGGCAAAGTTATACAGGATTTCTGCAGTTATCAGTATTAAGTATCCTGGTGCGGGACCTGGATTTCCTTGTAGGAAGGACGAAGCAACAAGTGGCTTCTTAGCTCGGACAATCTTAGTTCGATGCTCAACAAGTGTTTCCAAGTAAGCACACATCTTGAGTGTGTCCCTTGAGTACAAATCTGCATCGCGAAACAATTTTTCTCTTAATCACCACTATTTTATACAATAACAGTACTATAAATTCCGCAAACATATTTTATAAATTTAAAACTTTAATTCGATTTATAAAAACGGCGTTAAAATATAAGACGTATTAAATAAACAAATGACGTTTTAGAATGAAAAATTTTGTTAAAGTATTACCTGTCTTTCAATGGCAGATTTCTAATTATATATAGCCAATTTGAATATAAATTTAAACGGATGTTTAATAATAAATTACATAGAATATTTACAAGATCAAATATTACTGTATTTTCGATATATAGTTTGAATATTTGATCAATTTTAATTTTATCGAATTATATAAAGAGGACAACTTTTTCAAACACGCGAAATACGCGCGATCTCATAAATTAACTTATAAAGATAGAATCCAAATGACAGAAAAAGCATATTCGTATTTCTTTATGGAGTAGTACGATTTATTGTTTTTCAAGTTGTTGAGATATAACGAAACAATACACGATATGAAGAAAAAAATATGATTATTAATCCCG